TCCCCTACACCACCACACTACAACTGTGCACATTATTGTGCTTTGTGTGCACAGGCAACTGTGCTAAACAGCCACAGACTTTTCCAAATGGATCTGGAATGTGCTTTCCTGCTCGTAAGAACTGGGACCTACCTCTTCCTTTATCCCCCATGGAACCCCAAAAGAAATTCAGCAGAGAGAAGACAACAGTGCTGCCCAGCTCCCTAAATGCCAAGGGGTGGAGATCCCAGCAGTAAGACTATAAACAGTTGGCCTTTCTTTAAAACCATCAAGCAAAACCCAGCAGGCCAGAAGCTGATGACAGTCCCAGCAGAACGACTCTCTGCCATTTGTACAGCTCTTTGCAAGTGCCACCTCAATGGTGTGGATGCTGGAGGGTGGGAAAGAGCAGGAAAGAGCAGTGAAGACATCAGAGAGGGTAAAGAAAACCACACCCAACTCCTGCTCACCCCTGTGGACTCTCTGGTGCACATCTGTAAGCCCCTAGAACTTTCTGCTTGGCTCTCGTTTGGGAATACTCTAGGGAAGACTTCCCAAAGTGTCTGAAAAGTGCATCCTTCACCAGACAGATTACAAAGTGATCCTTTGCAATATAGATTCAAGAATTCACCAGCCAGCCAGCCTCACCTCAGTCCCATTCTGCCTCCTAACTTGTCACTGCCAGTGGCATCTGTCACAGGCCACGACAGGGGCCAAGACTACTCAGTGTTGCCATTTACAACCTGGAGGACAGCACGGGCTGCACTCACTGTAAGTTTGAGGGTGATGTGAAAATGAAGGGAGGGAGGAGAACATGTTAGAGGGCAGGGCTGCCACTGACAGGGACCCTGCCAAGCAGGAGAAAGGGGCCAACACCAACCTCATGAAGTTCAACAACACCAATCACCAAGTCCTGAGGCTGAGATGGAATAACATGAGCTGGGTGCCCACTGGCAATGCAGCAGCCTTGAAGAAAAGGACCTGGGGGTCCTGGTGGACAAGTTGAACGTGAGCCACTGCTGCAAGGGTGTCCTGCTGAGAGCTAACAATATCCTGGCAGGTACTGGCAAGAGCCCAGCCAGCAGTTTAAGTGCTTACTCCCCTCTGCTTAGCACTGGCGAGGTCAAATCTGGAGACATCAACCAGCTCCAGGGTCCCCATAACACAAGAGAGATGCTGACAAACTGGAGACAGTCCAGAGCCACTGGGATGGCTCAGGAACAGGGACACAGCAGACAGGGAGAGGCTGAGGGAACTGGGTTTTGCTTAGCCTGGCAAATGAGGAGACCAAGGAGGGATCTAACAACAGTTTTCCACTACCTTAAGAGTCAGGGGAGGCAGGGAGCCACGAAGAAGATGCTGCCAGACCTTTCCCAGAGGTGCACAGGAAACAGCAAAAAGAGGGAATATTCAGTCCAGTGCAGCCAGGGGAATTCTGATCAGAAATAAGGAGCAAAGACTTAATGGAGAGTGATTAAGTACCAGAACAGGGGCCCAGAGATGCTGTGGTAATCTCCATCCTCAGAGATTTCCAAAACTCCACAGGACGAGAGGCCCTGAGCACTCTGATCTAACTTTGACACTAGTCATGCTTGGAGCAGGATGGGACTAACGACCTCCTGAGGTCCCTTAAGACATGGAATCCCTGCAGTACACCGTGGGTCTTGCTCACCTGGCCTGCATCCAGCCTTTTGGCCAAAGGGGCTTCACCTCTCCATCTAGGAAGGTCTTCACATAATCCTCTAGAGACTGAGCCTTATTCTTGTCAAGGTCATAACCATCCAACTTAATCTTCACCAAGTGGCAAAGCAGCTCCCTGAAGAACAGGAAGATTTCAAAGACAGTTACATGGATGAGTTGCCCCAGTTGGAGGCCACTCCTCATACCCAGGGCTGGGTAAATACGCCGAGACACGCCTGGCTCTGCACAACCCCTTGCTGCTAAAACTGCCCCTGAGCTGCCCCTGAAGGCAAGAGGAAGGGAAAGGCACGTTCCAGACTCTGTGTGCACACCCAGCCATGTGCTGGGGAGAAAAGCCTTGACACCCCTTCCCATTTTAACTCCTGAAACAGCAGAGGTAGTAAAGCAGTGCCAGAATTCCAGGCGTCATTAACCACAGGACTGAACCTCTCTGCAGACCTTCAGCAGCAAGAAGGCAGGAAATGAAGCTTGCTTTGATCTAAATCAATCAGCCACCTATGGAGCAGCACCCCAATTTTTTACAGAATGAGATGAAGACGACAGGAGGATTGAGCCTCGTTTGATCCTGGGTCACTCTCCCCTTCTCCCCATGCTCTGTTCTCTCTCAGCCCCCAGGAGCCAGGGGCAGCAATCCCTGTTTTACCATGAACTGCTTCTGGTCTTGTGAAGAGCCTAGTCTGTAGGATTTCAGCAATTCAGCCAAGTTCTTCCTTTTCCCAAAGATCTGCCCCTCTCTTTTCACCTCAGCACAGAGGCTTTTTAGCAGTTCTCTCAGAGCTGGCCTGCAATCAGCTTGATTTTGCCATCTACATAAGGGTGAGATTTAGTAAAGGCAACAGTGGTTTCCATAAGGAGCAGAGTCTGCCACAAACCTCCAAGCTGACTGTTACTACAGATGATCAGCACTGCTCTGAAAACAAGAGACAAACACTGAACCACTTCACTTCCAACTGGGTGGAACATGACAAGTCACAGGCTCACTGAATACCTAAATTAAGCAAACCTGATCTCATCATTCCATTGAAATTTCTTTCGTGGTCCCGTGACACGCTTCCCTCCCTTTTCTTCATCCTCCTCATCATCAGAACAAACTCGATCTCGCTGGTCTTTGTCCTTTTCCTCTTCCAGCATCCTAAAATGGGGACAGAGAGAACGTGGAAGTCATTGCCCTGGAGGTTCAAGGACAAGGGTGTCTCTAACAACATTCTTTAGAGGCCTCAAGGAAAAGGGCCTAAATCTCCTCCTCAGGGGTCAAGCTCAAGGTTAAGGACTCTCCCAATCTTGTGTGATAGAGACCATGGACTAACCCAGCTCAGCCTGTCACTGAAGTGAAACACTTCAGCCAAGTTCTGGTCCCATCAATACTGCTGTTAAGTTGGCATCACTAACACAAAGAGCACATGCAGCTTGATTAGGCCAATTGAGGCCTGTTAGCACTTTTTGACTACAGAAATAGGGGGTAAACTTCATGAGAGCAGCCCACAGGTCACAGGGGTCCTGTGGAGAAGAACAACAGATGTATAATGAATAAACAAGGAGCTTACTTGGCAAACTTGGCCTGAGTGTGAGCTTGGCATTCCTCCTGGTACTTGGCCATCTGCTCTGGCATGGCCCTTCCAATGGCTTCCTTGAGCTTCTGCAGAGGTTCCCTCAACCGGCCACCCTGCAGCAATGAAGAGACCAGACTGCAGTTCCACATGGCACCTTCCAGCCAAGACACTCCACCCTGGCAGGGTGAGAGCTGCCCAGCTCTGAACCCACACCACCAGCCGTGGGGCCTGGACCACGCCCGGTGGAGGACACCGCTGGCAAGCCTGGAGCTGGGGGTCTAAGAGGCACACAGGACAGGGCTGTGCTGCCAAATTCACTCACCTGCTCATAGAGATAAAGCTTCCGGGCCCTCTTGACCAGGGTGTCCTTGCTGCAGGGGAAGAAGGCAGCCAGGTGGGCGTACACCCCCGAGCGGACCTGGCTGCTCAGCTCCCGGGTCTGCAGCTCGATGCTGAAGGAGAAGAGAAACACCAGAGTTGAGCCCAGGGACCTGCAAGAGGTTCTGTGAGCCACACCAACTCAACGTGGCTACCACCCGGGCAAGCTGGAGGCAGGGACAGACCCCAAGGACACAGATATCAAGCTAAAGGACATGATGGGTAGATTTTAGAATCAGACTCGACACTTTATCCCAAGTTGTGCCTTTTAATCCAGTCCCAGAACCTCTGGAAAAGGAACAAAAGGTTGTCACAGCAGGCTCCTTGTCTCTCCCTGGCAGCTGAGGCACAGGAGCATCAGGCAATGACACAAGGAGTAAGCACTGCTTATGTCAGGTAACAGCTCCCTGAAAGGGGGATGGAGCCAGGTGGTGGGGGTTTGGCTCTTCTCTTAAGGAAGAAGTGATAGGACAAGAAGAAATGGCCTCAAGTTGCCCCAGGGGAGGTTTAGGTTGGATATTAGGAAAAACTTCTACACTGAAAGTGTTGTCAAGCACTGGAACAGGTCGCCCAGGGCAGTGGTGGAGTCCCCATCCATGCAGGGCTTTAAAAGCTGTGTAGATGTGGTGCTCAGGGACATGGTTTTGGGACTAAAAAGTGTTAGGTGAACAGCTGGACTCCATCTCAAAGGTCTTTTCCAACCAAAACAACTCTAACTCAGCACAATACAGACTCAAACCTCATCCCTTGGGCTTGAACTTACTTCCCAGTGAGGTCAGAGAGGTCAGTGTGTGCCCAACCCACCTACACAGTTACACAGAACTTGGGAGACCAGTTTTTAAAGCCACCTCTCAGTGCCAGGAACTGATTCTACAGCAGAGCCCTACAAATCTCTCCAAATCTCTTCAGAATGTGGCTAAAGTTGCCTGTCTGACAACAGATTAGGTCTGTTGGTGCAGTCAGCACTGAAATGCTTGAAAGGAGAGGGCAACAGGCTCCTAAATATCCCTTTCCCAATTCCCTCCAAGTGCCCTGATAAACCTTAATGAAATTAAAGCCTCTGTGCAAGGATCATCACACAGTGAAGATGAAAAGCTGCCTGCTTTCCTCAGCCTTCTCCAGGCTCTCAGAGAAGAATGAAGCTGTTCCCAACAGCCACGTGGAGCACCCCTGGCACTCTGTCACTGGGGGACTCAAAACCACAGGGGTTCCTCCAGCCTGCACAGAAAGCAGGCCAGGCACAGCAGCCTTAGCCCAGATCCAAAATATTCCATAAGCTTCAAAAAAAATGGCACAATTTGAGTAGCAAAGAAGGTGCCTGATATCCCTGACAGGGAGAGGTTCACTGCTCCTCATCCAGCTATGATCACAGGTAAATTAGCCAAATTTTAGCACACAGATATCAAGCACCCCCTTGAGAACAGGAGGCCTGGATACATTCCCCCCCCAGCATTCTTTTATTCATCATTACTTCAACTGAACTATTTCTAGGACACTTTCATGTTATCTGAGGTGTGTTCTGCAGGGAGAACCTGTATAAGGCCATCACCCTTCCTGCTAAAGCTGCTCCTAAATTGAGCAAAAATGCTCTGCCTAACATTTTCCTTTCCCACCCTTCTCTCCTGGTGGCACTTACTCCAGTATGATGTTGTTGATATCCTGAGTGAAGAATCTCTGTTTGCCTTCTCCCTCTGCAGCTCGGGCAGCCTGGAAACAAGCAGAGGACACAAGTTACCACCAGGACACACATCCAGACAGGCACAAGCAGTCCAGTGCTCTTTAAATCACTTCAGAAATACTGTAAAACAGGGCACAGTTTTACCCCACCAAGCTCTGCACCTGCTGTAGATGAGCTAAAAGCTGCCAGAGTCAACAGACTGAAGAGAGACTGTGTCCTCTCCTCTCGTGTCTCCTCAGTTCCAGACCTGCCTCCTGAACTTCTCAGGCCATGTCCTGTCCCATTCTGGATTCTCCTGTCCACAGCATCCCAGCACGGTGAGGAACAGGAGGGATCTCTGGAGATCATCTCCTCCAACCCCCCTGCTCCAGCAGCTCACCCACAGCAGGGTGCCCAGGGTCACAGCCAGGAGGGTTTGGGATCTCTCCAGAGCAGGAGACTCCACAGCCTCTCTGGGCAGCTGCTCCAGGCTCTGCACCCTCACCCCAAAGAAGTTTCTCCTCCTGCTCAGGTGGCACCTCCTGGGTTCCAGTTGGTGCCCGTTGCCCCTTGTCCTGTCCCTGGGCACCACTGACCAGAGTCTGGCCCCAGCCTCTTGCCCCCCGGGGCCCTTTAGCTCTTGCTCAGCACTGATCAGATCCCCTCTGAGGCTTCTCTTCCCCAGGGCTCTCAGCCTGTCCTGGCACAGAGATGCTCCAGCCCCTCAGCAGCTTTGTACCCCAAAGTCCAGATGCACAAGAGTGGAGTCCACTGGACTCTCTGCACTGGGGTGAAGATTCCTCCACTCACTGGGGCCAAGGAGAGGGCTTGGTGGCACCTGGCTTCTTTGACATGGGGGGAAGGGACAGTTCTAGGGCACAGTTTTAGCTTCACATTAGAGACTTGAGTAATATGAGCAACAGAGCTTGTCCCTGGAACAGGAAAGGTTATCCTCATCACCTTTAATGAGGGTCAGGGATAGTTATCACCAGGCTCTCTAGGCCAGCCTGGACACTAAGCCAAGAAGCCAACAGCAGGAGCAACAGCCACAGGGGATATGTTCTTTTCAATGAACACCATGGAAACTAAAAAAAAAACACAATATCCTGCTCAGGAATCTTCCTGAGCTCTGACTGCAGCACCACCCAAAAATCACACCCATGAAAAACATGTCCAGCAGGAAAATAACTCCAGGAGATGAATGAGATAGTAGGAAACTGCCAAGGGCTTTCAGGATCTGCTGAGTGGGGATGGAAACATGACTGGGATCCACCACAAAGCACCAGGTTAACAATTCCTTGTGGGGGGAAGGAGACCAGGGGAGAAGGGGATGATTTTGAACCCTCCCTCCTGATTTAACACTCCAAGGTGGAGGCTGGTAAGCAATGAAGTGATGTGCAGAGGGTGTCCATGGCCCCCCTGTCAGCAGCAGGCCAGACAGGAGAAGGCTCAATGCTAAAAGAGAATCCTTCACAGGAAAACTCTTTGAGGAAGAAGAGAGTTAAAGTCAAATGAGTTCAAGGGGAAGAGGAAATGCCTGGAGGCTCCATTTCACTTGGGAGATGCTCCCACCTGCTGGGATGGAAGAGACCTGGCCCCTCACTCCCACCCCCAGCAGAGCTCATGTCCCAGGATCCTGACTGACCCAGAGGCTTCAGTGGGTTAAATCTGTTACTTCTCCTCCTTGGTTCCTTTTCTTAACACACACAGCCCAGCAACAAGAGACACAGCAGCAGGGAAAGCTGAGCAGGGAAATCTGCAGGGTGGAAAATCTGAGCCTCCAAAATATTCTCCTTTAACTCAGACACAGTTCTGAAAGAGCTGGTTCAAGTGTTTTCTGTTAACTGCCTCAGCAGCAAATAAAACACCCATGAAGAGCCTGTTCTTCTTATCAGCTGGGACAATCCTTTCTGCAACTCCTTCTCTTCCATCTGCTCACCACCACTACACAGACTCTCCATTTCTCAGCAGAACACCATTATCTTTCACAGGAGCTTCTCTTCATTAACAGGAGTTATTAAGTAAGAGATGCTGAAGTAACAGGTGCTCCAAAAGGATGGGCCCCAGAGGGCAGAACACCCACCACAGCAGAGGCCTCAGAGCTCTCCAGACTCCAGATCAATGTTTCAGAACAACACTGGTGGCAGGAACAAGACCTCTCAGCGTTTGTGGACAGCTGAGGGTGACAGTCTGAAGGTGCACTTCTGTGACATGCCAGGAGAGGGATCCCTGCCCTGCTGCTGCTGCTCTAGAACTGCTTCCCAAAGCACCTCACAACGTTTTGGAGAAGATGGGTGAGACCCACAGAAGTCACAGAATAGTTTGGGTTGGAAGAGATCTTAAAGATCATCCAATTCCAACTTCCCTGCCATGGGCAGGGACACCTCCCACTAGAGCAGGTTGCTCAGAGCTTCATCCAGCCTGAGCTTGAACACCTCCAGTGCTGGAGCATCCCCAGCTTCCCTGGGCAACCTGGGCCAGGGTCTCACCACCCTCAGAATGAAGAGATTCTTCCTCATTTCTAATCTAAATCTCCCCTCTTCCAGTTTGAAGCCATTACCTCCCATCCTATCACTACAAGCCCTTGTAAAAGGTCCCCTCTCAGGTTTCTTGTAGGCCCAGCTGCAGGAGGAGCTACTGGTGAAAAGACATGGGATCACTCTTCCAGAAATCAACCTATTCCCCTCCCTAAACAGCACCCCAACACTGAGCTCTTACAGAGAGGTGAAGAACCCAAAGTGCCAGTGATGCAGCTCCAACGGGGGAGCTGCCAAACTGCACCCGTGCTTCAGGCTGCTCAGGACATGGGGAATGGTTCTAACAAATCCTCAAGCCCCCCCTAGAGGGCTTCCCACACCTCCTCACGCTGTGGAACAGGGAATACCTTCCAGCTGCACTTCTTTTAGCTCCACTTCACACCTCATCACAGCTGCTGTCCAGCCCCTCGAAACCATCCTGGGGGAATTTGACCTTTGTCCTCATCAGTTCACATTTTAACTTCCCCTGCCTTAAAGTGACTTTGGAAATCACCCCCTGGCACCAGGTCTGTACTTTGCCAAGAGAGGTAAACCCCCACTGACAGCTGGGACACAACAAGGCCCAGGACTCTGACACTACCTGACATCCAGATGTTCCACGACAGCGACTCGGTGAGAAGAGAAAACTGGGGGACACAAGAGTGTGACCCCACGTGGCCCTGCAGAACCACCCCACCCGAGGGTGGTCTGTCTGCAGGTGAAGCTACACGAGCCCTGCAGAGCTGGCCCCCTCCCAGCCCTGCTGCCCCACCACCAGGGGCCTTACCTGTGCCAGCTCCTTGATGCGTTTCTCCAAAGGGGCCGGGAGACCTTCGGGGAGGGATGGTGGCTGCTTGAAATCCTGCTCCAAGCCCATCCCACCAGGATCACTCCCATCCTCCACCTCAGGAAGGGGACTCCCCTCAGGGGAATCGCTCAGGAGCCGCTCCAGGTCCAGGTCAGTTAAGGAGTCCATGGCTGTGGCTGCTGTGAGCAGGTCGTTATCACTGGCGTGGCCAAAAAGAGAGAGCAGGGGGTCAGGCATCACCTCCCCCTCCCGGGGGGCTGGAGGCTCTGCTGGGGAGGGAGTTGCTGCTTTCTGCTCTTCATCTTTCTTCTTCTGAGCCTCCTTCTCCTTCTGGAACTTCTTCAGCATCTCCTTGACACTGAGAGCGCCCGAGTATTTCTTCTTCTTCTTCTCCTTGCTTGCATTTAATGCTGTAAAGCTGGAAACGAAGGAAAGGGAACTGAATGTACCATGAAGGGGAAGAGACAAGGGTCATCCCAGTTCACTTCAGCCACAGCACCAATCCCCTGGGAAGTCTCAGCCCCTGAACCAGTTACACCAGGAAAAATGGGCTCTTAAAGCCTTATGGTCCTGCTGCTTTTCAGGCTGGAGAAGAGAGGGCTGACCTTCCTCAATTGAAGGAGCTTAAACAGTCTCCACTGAGTGTTGCAACATGAATTATTCCAGCAAGGAAGACTGGGAAAAGCACAACCAACCAGCGTGGAGGAACTGTAGCAAGGAGAGTGAATGTGACAGCAGCTGGAAGCTTTTCACCTGTCAAAACCAGGAGAGCAAATTCCTTCTCCTTCTCTTCAGGCTCTCCAGTACCTGTTCCCCCCACCAGTGCCTGAACAGAGCTCCAAGAAACAGCAACATTGCAGCCAGCTCTGCCTCCCTTTGCTCAGACACCCGTGTGGAGCTGTGCTCCCTCCCCTCCTTGCCAGCTGCCTTTTTTCTCCCACGTCAGGAGCAACAGGAGTTGACCTGCTGCTGTTCCTGCAGCAGGCACCCAAACCACCCCCTAATCCCCCCAGGTCCTCCAGCAACGTACCAAATACCAGCTGAGTCCTTGAGCAGTGAACGTTCCCTCCCCCTCCTTACCCAGCTTTTGGGAATTTGGACTTTTTGGATTTCTTTTCCTTGTCGTAAGAATCATCTTTCTTCTTCTTCTTCATTTTCTCACCTCCCTCTTTCAGCTTCCGCTTCTGGAGAGGGTTTCAAACCAAAAGTCACAATCAAAGCATCTCCTACAATGCTACCTGCACCCCCTGGGCCCTCTCCCAAAAACTGGAGAGCAGTTCCTTCCCCAGCAGGCACATTAACCCAAACCCAGACATCTTATCCCCCTGGTTTGGGCACACACTGACTTCACCCCTTCAGAGCACACCAAATCTTTACACCAGAGATGATCCCATCCCAAAGGGGAAGGGATGCCAAGTGCTCCTGCTGTTCCCCCTTTTAGCCACCTTGCTTTGCCATGATGAAAATGGAGCTGTCTCCAACAGACAGTCACCAAAGAGGAGCACCTCAGATGAGAAAAGGAACCCTCAACAGCTCTTGGCACCTCCATCACGCTCAGCGAGTTTTCAGGGTGGCTGCTGTCAGCTCTGCTCTAGGAAGCATGCAAGCCCACCAGAGCCTCATCCCTGGCAGACACGCTTCATTTAGCTCCCAAATAAGAGGAGAGAGGGAGATTTCAAGTGCTCATCCCCCATTCTGTCCACGCCAGCTCACAAATCTCCCCCCGACTTTTCCGTGCAGCCAACCCGCCGCGCTCCAAGAGAGGCAATAAGGGAGCAAAGTGGCCTGCTGACCTTGGGACACTTCTTCTTCTTCTCTTTAACATAGTCATCTTCAGATTCAGAGGCCTGCCGAAACTGCAGCGTGCCTGAGTTGATGTAAAACCCTCCATACTTGGTCGTCAGAGAAGCTGGAACGAGCTCGTCGTACTGGGAACGAGATTCACACCCTGTTGGTGCTGCGGCAGCTTTGTCACTTTATCCCACGGAAAGGGGGGGGTTGTGCTCCCCCAGGAAGACACCACGCCCACCAACCAGCTCCTGGCTTGCTCCCAGCTCAGGTTGCCCCCCGGGTGGCAGCTCAGCCCCCCCCTGCAGGCAGCTCCTGCCCAGACTCACCGCCTCGGAGTTGTCGATGAAGGAGTCGGACTCGTCGTAGCCATAGCCCATGTCAATCAGGTCCTGGATTCGGTCCTTCCTACGCCTCTTCCCACCCTAAACAACCAAAAGATTGGCAGCACGGTCACCTTTGTTCCCAGTCAACACAGGGATAGCCCCAACACAGGACTTTTGACAGTGGGTTCAGCCCAGAAAAGGGATTGAGGTCTTTTTTCTTCCTGCTCCCGGCAGCAGCAGAACCAAACCAGTGTCAACTCCCATCCTCAGGCCAGTTTCAGGACTTGTTGTACAGAACTAAAACCAGTGCAGCTAAATGAAGCAGAACCTGGTGCCAGCAGAGCATCCAGTACTCCTGGAGAAGAGGAGGCTGAGGGGAGACCTTCTGGCTCTCTACAACCCCCTGCCAGGAGGTTGGGGGGAGGTGGGGGTTGGTCTCTTCCTCCAAGTCACCAGCAATAGGACAAAGGCTGAAATTGTGCCAGGGGAGGTTTCAAGTGGATATTAGGAAGAATTCTTGCTGAAGAAAATTCCATTTTATAAATTACAGTAAGTTATTTGCTGCTGCAAGTGAGGACATCATTCACTTTCATCAGACTCATCTAAGAATGCATCTGAAGTCTTTTCATGGACCATAGCCCAGAGACAGGAAAGGAACATAGAAAAAAAAGCACTTTCCAGCCAAGAAAAAGGACTGCAGGAGAAGGGGAGAGTAAGAGCCAGTGGCCAGCACAGACTGGTTGAGGCCTGAGCAGCATCAACCCTTCTAAGGTGTCCTGGTTTGGGGTAGGACAGAACTAATTCTGTTTAGGGATTTTACTTTTCAACTAAAGCTCTTCTAATTAACTGCACTCTCTGAAGTCAGCAGCAGATTTTCACAGTCTCTGCTCCTAGCAGTGACAGCACCCCCGTGTTCAGAGTCACCACCAAGGACTGGTGTGCAGACCAAGGTCTCTGCTAAATCCTGTGTCACTGAGGGGGGCAGAAAAAAGCTGCAGGGGTAGAAGAAGAGGTTGAAAGACTGAGGAGAATGAGGGAGTGGGAGAAGGAGGCTGACTGGTTGATTCAGGCCCTGCCATCCTTCAGGATGGAATGGCAAGTGGAGGCTCTGCCAGAAAGAGAAGATCCCCTCCTCCCTTGCCACCAGGTAAAAGGAGAGGGCCTAAGAAATGAGGGGGAATGGAACAGGTCCCTGCTTGGCAAGGAAGGTGAATCCCCTCCCAGCCTCCCTCCCCTTGCACAAGTATGGGGCTCTGGAAGCTGAGGGACAGAGATGATGATGGAGATGAAGGCTCATCAGGTGAGCCACCCAAGGTAAGGTCTCCCTCACTCATTAGGACTGGCCCTAAGAAGAAAAAAGGAGGGTAATTGAAGTTGGTGGCTCCCTTCTGAGAGGAACTGAGGGCTTCATATTTGGCCAGATCCACTTCATAGGGAAGTCTGCTGCCTCCCTGGGGGCAGGGGCAGAGATGTTACTGGGAAACTCTCTCACCCAGCACAGCCATCAGACTACCATCCCCTGCTCGTTATCCAGGCTGCTAACAAGGGTGTTACAAGGAGAAACCTGAAAACTTTTAAGACTTTAAGGCACTTTGGAGATGGTTTGAAGGACCAGGGGGTGTTCTCCTCCCTCCCTCCAGTGCCAGGGAGGAACACTGAAGGAGGAAGGCAGACCCACCTGGTCAGCAGGGGGCTGAGAGGCTGGTGCCACCAACAGAACTTTGGGGTGGACAAACACAGGGAGCTTTATGCTGCCCAGGGTCTGTGGGGGGCAGATGGAGTTCATCTGTCTCAAAAGGGGAAAGGGATGGTTGGGCATGAGCTGGCTGAGCTCACTGAAAGGCCTTTAGAAGAGGGAGGGGGCTATGACCAGGCCTGCCAGAGTTGAGCCCAAGGATGGCAAGCTGGGTAAAGTTGAGGCAGGCCAAGGAGGTATATGTCCTGTTGGGAGTCTGTTCTAGACCACCCAACCAGGAAGAAGAGCTGGATGAATTGTTCCACAGCCAGGGGGCAGACCCTGCAAAATCCCAAGCCCTTGTTCTTGCAGGGGACCTCAACTTCCCAGACATCTGCTGGAAACAGAACACAGCAGAGAGGAAAGAGCCCAGGAGGTTGCTGGGGGGTGGAAGTTAACTCCCTGACTCAAGCTGGTGAGGGAGCCCCCCAGGGGAGGGGCCTTGCTGGGCCTGTTGTTTACAGGGAAGGACTGGTGGAGGACGTGGTGGTCAGAGGCCATCCTGAGCTCAGCCCCCATGACATGAGAGAGTTCTAAATACCTTTTTCCAGAAGATTGAAAGGAGAAAATGACTGGTGTGGCTGAGCAAGGAGCTTTTGCTAGGACTTAGGAGGAAGAGGAGTCTCCAACCTTCAGAAGAAGGGGCAGGCTGCTCAGGAAGAGTAGAGGGACCTAGTTAGGTCATGTAGAAAAAACATTAGGGGGATAAAAGCTCAGCTGGAACTCAGCCTGACCACCACTGCAAAGGAGAAGAAGAAGTGTTTTTACAAATAACAACAAAAAAAGGGACAGGGAGAATCTCCATCCTTTACTGGATGAGAGGAGGAACATTGTCACCAAGGTTTGGGCACCACAGGGTAAGAAAGACCTTGAGGGGCTGGAGCAGGTCCAGAGAAGGGCAATGAAGCTGGGGAGGGATCTGGGGAACATGGCTTGTGAGGAGCAGCTGAGGGACCTGGGGGTGTTGAGCCTGGAGGAGAAGAGGCTCAGGGGAGG